CGTTGAATTCAGGATTTTCGCATTTAATTTTCAATAATCGTAATATTTCTGTATCACCATATTTGTTAATAAGTATATTGATTAAACGTTCCATGTCTAGTTGTTCAGTTTAATTTCTTCTAATAGTAGTACAGGTTTTTTAAAAATAATCAATAGCTTATTTAGCAGAGAAGCTGTTTATATCAGCTTAATCAATATCATGCTAAAAAATACTTTGATATAGTTAGAAAATTCTATAAGATTATAACTCCACTAAAGAACAATGAAGTTAATAATCTAATCAAAGCTGACTAATTATGATTTGCAATTAATTCTTCAAATTATCAGAAAGTTTCGAAGTCTCAAGTTTTCCATTAAATACTTATAATATTACTGGAAAACCATATTTTTTTAATTAGTACCTTTACCATTCTTAGCAAGTCTAGTTTCTAATTAGAGCGCACTTTAATGATTTTGCATGTTTTGCAGAAAATATTAAAAGCTTAAGAAACTGAACAATATGAGATTAATGCTTATTCAATCTCATACTCAAAATATTCTAGATCAAGTTTAAAAGCTTTTAAAAATATCCATGCGTCAACACCTAGACATCTAATATATCGTTCAACTTCAGATTTTATTTGTCTAAAATGAAATTCCTATGATTTCAATTCTTTAAGAAAAGAATATCTTTCTTCTTAATCATTCTGCAAATGATCCATCATTTTAAAGACGATCATTGTGGCGTAATAATCAACAACTCCATATCTATCCTAAAAATAAATCAGGAACAACAGTACTTGATGAACAGTTAAATGATAATTACTCTATATAAGATCAAACTGGTAGACTATCATGATTCTATGCTTGTATAGATATTATGCAAATTCAGAGTGTTTTTCTCATTTTTTAAGATCTTTTATTCCAATTATAAATTCATTTACCTCCTGTTTTTGTTTAGAAATACCTATCTCTCTTTATAGTAACTTTTAATTCAGATCAGATTCACTTTAATTAATATGAACTTCTTCGTTAATAAATAGATTTGTGATAGCAGTTGCTTAAATATCGTCAATTTTTTTCCCAACTACTCCGACATATCTAATTGCAATGTATCTATCCTATTCATGCCTCTCTACATTTGGTTTACCCAGTAATGTTATCTTAATGAACTCACCGCATACTAAATCTGGTAAAAGTGAAAACGTTTATTCTTTACTGCCATCATATTTAACTGCAAATACTTTACTTTTGTAATGGTATTTCCCTAATTCATTTCCTACCTCTATTTGGATCTATTGAGGCGGAAAAATTTCATCCTTCAAATTATAATTTCCTTGAAATACTAGCAACACAATAGACACTATTAAAGCTTTTTCGGGATGATCTCTGCTGGCAAGTTTATAGACTAAATGCTCTTGATCAAGTATACCTTTTGTTCTTTTAGATCTCCAATAATAATCAAATTTTCTGTACCTGTTTAAAGTTTTGTGTATTGAAAAACTCTGATACTAAGAAGAGGATTCAATTCCCTCAATCATAATGTCATTTTATGAACTAAGGCAATAGCTGATGAGTGATAAAGTCTTATGAATTTGGCTTTGTATAGAGCATACTTTTTTGAACTACTAAGAGGTTAGTCGAAGAATCTGATGATTTGACTCTTTTCGATTACGAATTTCTTCTTTTTACTCGTCTTACATCCAATTTCTTAGAATATAAAGCCAAATTGAATTCTTATTCTGAAGTTAACTTAATATACCTTTGCAAGCATATTAGAATATCATAATTTCAGGTAGCTAGAGAAATTGCAAAACCTCTCCGATTTAATTTGGGCCTAAAAGTTAAAAATTCGATTTCTTTTATTTTTGCATTTATTTTAAGTAA